AGCCTAACATGTGTCTGCAATAAAAATTTAGTCTTTAATTGTAAAAAGTTATCATTCAATTCTTTGATTTCTAATACAAAAGTTCAACTAAAAGAGAAGGCCCAAAAAAATTAGTGAGTCACACACCCAAAAGGCCATGTTAGGCCATCCCCAATGGTTGGAACTCTAAAAGAGGTTGATAGAGCCTCATTTAGAGCTCTGATGGAATCTTTCGGGCTCTAAAGGCATCTCTCTCACAGTGGGAAGCTCTATATCTTGGGTTATGATGTAATTTGATTTATGTGCTATCTTTGTTTTTTTATTAACTTATTTTGTTTTAATGTATGTTTATGTTATGTTAGTTTTTTTTTTTTGGTGAACATTTCAACAACAACAAAAAAATCAAAATTTGGACAAGGTTTTTTTTAAAAAATTTGGTGGGCATTTATAAGAAGAATTGGGTATGAGAACTAGAAAAATAAAAAACAAAACAAAAATTCATACTAGCCGTTGAGCTCTTGTAGCCGTTGGCCCAGTTGACCAAAAAAAAAAACAATGGAACCAGCTACTGAGAGCTTGTAGCTAGAGTTGTCAATGGATCGGATTTTGATCCGAATCTAATCTGAATCTGATGTAATTAATAAGAGATGGATTAGACTTCTCAATTTGATAATCTGATTACAATCCGATCCAACTTAGTATGAAGTATAATTTAATTTTTATATGCTTAATATTAATATTTAATATGTGTGAATGAGTAATTTTAGTTTTATATGCACTAAGAATAGACTTAAAACTAATCTTTATGATAAAATATCAAAATTTGATATCAAAAGTAGATAAATACAATAAAAGAACGAGACTACTAATGAAATTTTTATTTTTTGTACATATCAACATAAATCCAATAATAATCCGATTCAATACTTAATGGATATGGATTGATAGGTACAATATGATAGTCCGAATACAATCTAAATTTGATAATCCAATTATAAATGAATTCGAATTTGAATTGAGGTATATCTGATCCAAATCTGATCCTTTTACACCCCTACATGTAGCCATTGGTCAAATTATTTTAAAAGAAACAAAAAAAAATGGTCAGCAACCTGTTTTTGGTCGAGTAGATATGCTACAGTCGCAAGGAGCGTCACCGACAACACGCATGGGCTAGCAGCTTTTCCTTCTATGCGGGTCCTACCAAAATTCAAGAGCTTCAACCATGTACCTATATTTAGGTTGAGCTGTAGTGAGACTCAAGCATTTAGGGCCTCAAAATTGGACCACTAGAGATTTTTTTTTTTTTTTTTTTTGTGTGCATGGGTTTCTATTTATTGGAGCCCAAAAGTGGTGCAGCACCCTTTAGAGCCTCCATTAGGGATGACCTTACTTCTATACTTATTGGTCTAAAACGTTGCAAGAAAAGCATATTCATTTTTGTCAAGTAGGCACTTCAATGAATAAGAGCATCCATAATGGTAGTGTGTAAAGGTGGATGTATGCTAAATTTACACTTATTGCCACCAAAAGTTGCTGCAGTGGGAGGATGTAAAGGCTTATAAATTTACATTGGGCACCGGATGTGTATAAAAAGATGCTAATTTATATCCATTTTTACACCCATTTTGCGGACCCCACAAACAAGAAATGAAGAGAGAAGAGAGAGAAGAGCAGCTGAAAGGGTGATTCCACTCTCCTTGTACGCGCAAGTAGAATGATACTCTCCAGAAAAAGCAAAGTAATGGGTCCCACAGAAGACAAAGTGCAAATTGGCTTAATAAAGCCCCTAACGGTCATCGAATGAGTGGGCCAAATTGTTTCTTTTTGAAAATCAATGGCCCAGATTTAATTGCATTTAATTAACACATAAAAATCGAATATACATCTTTCGATTTACATCATCCTTAAAGCATCCACAATGGTCACATGTAAAAGGGGGTGTATATCAGATTTACACCCCTATCACCGGAATCAGCTCCAATGGTCGTATGTAAATGGTTATACATTTGCATTCTCAGGCTGAGATGCAAAAAAAAAAATGGAAGTTTACATCTTTTTGTACATCCCAGAAGCGGGTCCCACGATTGATAAAGGAGGAGAGAGGAGAGAGAAGAGTAGCAAAGTTTCTGGAATTACGCACCCCACACTTGCGAAAATACGGCTACTTTTTTTTTCTTCTAATTTTCTATATATAAGCTCAACATTTGTTCACAAAAATCACCACTCTTCATAACTTATCCGAATTTAAATATTTTTAGGTTTATTTGTTTAGAAAAATAAAATAAATTTAAAACAAAAAATTAATTCCAAAATGTTAACACACACACAAAATCGAATTAACACAAGAAAATCAAATATACATCTTCATATTTACATCTTCCCCATTGAAGCAAAAATCACATTTACGTCCCCCGGAGATGTAAAGAGGATGTAAAAGTGACCTTACACCCCAAATTTACACATTTCCATTGTTGATGCTCTTATTAGAGCAAAAATCACATTTACATCTTCGGAAGTGTAAAGTAGATGCAAAAATGGCTTTACACCCCTAAATTTACACACCACCATTGTGGATGCTCTAACGGTTTACTGATGGAGGGACTTACATGTAAGTTTTTCGTTGTATGAATTTGTAGGGTATTACAAGGTTGGATACAAATTTGAAATGATCTCCAAATTTGACGAGTTTATATAGTTAAATTATTATTATTAATTTTTTCAACAGCATTGCGCTTAAAAGAAAAAAAGGTGCAATGAGCATGGAATGGCCAATTTGGGGTCCTTGTTACAGAAATGCACCTCTCTCGCCCACATCAAGCAGCTCCAATCCCACCTCCTAACAAGTGGGAAATTCCAATTCTACCCCTCCCTCACCACCAAACTCATCGAGCTCTGTGCCCTCTCCCCCATCGCCGACCTCTCTCATGCCATAACTCTCTTCCACCAACTGCGAAAGCCTTCAACCAATCAATGGAACGCCGTCGTTCGGGGCCTCGCCCAGAGCCTCCGACCCACCCAAGCCATCTCATGGTACAAGACCATGTCACAAGCCTCCCAAAAGGTCGACGCCCTCACGTGCTCCTTCTCTTTGAAAGCGTGCGCACGTGCACTGGCTTTCTCTGAGGCCATGCAGATTCACTCTCAGATTGTACGGTTTGGGTTTGGGGTCGACGTGTTGCTGCAAACCACTTTGCTTGACGTGTATGCAAAAGTAGGCGACCTGGGTTTTGCACAGAAGGTGTTCGATGAAATGAGTGAGAGGGATATAGCTTCTTGGAATGCTTTAATTGCTGGGTTGGCTCAGGGGAGTCGGCCCACTGAAGCCATAGCTCTGTTTAAAAGAATGAGCGAAGAAGAGGGTTTGAAGCCCAATGAAGTCACGGTCCTGGGTGCGCTCTCGGCCTGTTCGCAATTGGGTGGAGTGAAAGGAGGAGAGAAAATACATGTCTATATAATGGAGGAGAAGCTTGATATGCACGTCATCGTGTGCAATGCGGTTATTGATATGTATGCCAAATGCGGCTTTGTGGATAAAGCATATTGGGTGTTTAAGAATATGAAATGTGGGAAGAATTTGATAACGTGGAATACGATGATAATGGCGTTTGCTATGCATGGCGATGGTGATAAGGCGCTTGAGCTTTTTGGGGAGATGACTAAAAGTGGGGTGTGCCCGGATGCAGTGTCGTATCTTGCTGCTCTCTGTGCGTGCAATCATGCAGGACTGGTGGAAGATGGGGTTAGGTTATTTAATTCAATGGAGGACCAAGGGGTGTCCCCTAATGTTAAGCATTATGGGACTGTGGTCGATTTGTTGGGACGGGCGGGGCGGCTTCAAGAGGCTTACCAGATTATAAATTCTATGCCTATGTTTGCTGATGTGGTGCTCTGGCAGACTTTACTTGGTGCTAGCAAGACTTATGGGAATGTGGAAATGGCGGAAATGGCATCACGGAAACTAGTTGAGATGGGGTCTAAGGGTTGTGGTGATTTTGTGCTGTTATCAAATGTTTATGCGGCTCATGAGAGATGGGACGACGTAGGCAGGGTGAGGGAGGCGATGAAGAGAAGGGATGTGAAGAAGATACCAGGTTTCGGTTACATAGAAGTGGACGGTGTGATACACAAGTTTGTGAATGGTGATCAAAGCCATGTTAAATGGCGTGAGATTTATGCAAAGCTAGACGAGATTATGTTGAGGGTCAAAGCCTATGGATATGTGGCCAAGACTAATAATGTGCTGCATGATATAGGGGAGGAGGAGAAAGAAAATGCATTGAGTTATCATTGTGAGAAGTTGGCTGTGGCTTTTGGATTGATTAGTACCAGTGAGGGGACACCAATTCAGGTGATTAAGAACCTAAGAATATGTGATGATTGTCATGCTGTGATCAAACTTATTTCAAAGATTTATAATAGGGAAATAATTGTGAGGGATCGAGCCCGGTTTCACAGATTTAAAGAAGGATGTTGTTCCTGCAGAGATTATTGGTGACATTCATTTGTTCTAACATTGGAAGGAGAATGAAATTAAAGGGTTTGAAGCCTCTCTGATGGATCTACAAAAGTGTTGTTGATCGAATTCGTTATTTATTTATCCTTTTAAAGGAAAACACAGATGATTTGAAAAATAAAATCTGCAGATACAGGTACAGTGCAAGCATCTCTTTCGTGTTTCTTCCAATGCAGAAATCTGTCCACGCACATCAGCCAAAATAAACATTTTGAAATGCATTCGTCTTGTATTATAATCCAAAAAACTAATAATTGCATATATGGTTGATTAGAGTACCGTAAAGAACCGTACGTTCATATGTAATTTGTACTTACAAGAGCGTTCAAGCGCCAACCGGTTACCAAGTTACACTGGCTGGTAACATAACAGTCAAATTGTATGAAAATAGAGCATTACTATCTATCCCGTGGTGCTGTTTAAAATTAAGACTCACAAGGTGCTGTTGTGGTATTTGCGAAGTGTAATTTCTGAAAAATATACAAATTCTATAATCACACTAAACTTCAGTGTTAGTTCAACTCTGTTAAAAAAAAATTTCTAAACTTCACACACCACATACCAATCCAAGTACATCAATTTTTGACAGGCTGAATTAAAACTACTGTTGCATAACCATGAACAAATATGCTACAAATTAGACAGCCGAGAATCTCACAATTACAATGGATAAGGCAGGTTGGTGGAATTAACACAACCAAGCAAAGACAAAATACTGCCACAGCCAAAAAAGGACTAACTCGACCACAAAACCCTCCTGCTAGAGCCTAGAACATAGACTCGATATAACAATTCTAATCCAGATTCCCAAGGATGAAAAAACCTCAGCAAAATAATTTCCCTGCGTGAAGTGAGCTTGAATTAGTTAACTGACAGATTGTTGTGATTCAACTAGTCTTTCATTGCCTTCACTGCCCTTGCTTCAAAACCCCCTTCAGGTCTCTTCACAAGATTATAAGGCATGTAGGTCCCAAAAAGTTTATCCCATAGAGGGAAGAATGGCTGAGAATAGTTGTATTTCAAGCCTTGAAGTTGATGATGTATGTCATGATAAGCAGTATTGTTCTGGAATAAAATATGGAAGATATTACCAGGCAACCAAAGTCCACAGTGATCATCAACAGTTTTAATCACTGCAAAACAGAAGAATATAACTGCCGTCCGTGCCGTCATCCCTGAGACTAGAAAAGAGATGGCCCCACCGAAAGTGTCGAGCAAGAGACCCTCAAGCGGGTGATTATAAAGGGCTCCAATGGCATATGGAACAACAAGTCTGTGGTGCTGAGAATGAACATGGCGGTACAAAAACTTGTTCTGATGCATGTAGCGGTGCACAAAGTACTGCCACGTGTCCATGACTAGCATTGCGATAACAATCTGCACAATCTGGACGGGTATCGAGGGCTGAACTGTGATCCCCGAGATATTTGCCTTTGAGGTCAACTGTAGCAATAAGACATGAACATATTAGTCATAAAAATAGTTGATACAAAGGACCTTCCAAATTGGACACATAAGAGTAACAGTTCACTACGAAATGTTGAAATGAAATAAAAACAAGAATGGAATATTGAGAGAGTTGGAGGAAAAGTAGGAAGCATAGAAAATTGCTAAGGAATGTAACTGGTCTTATCCATCATTTTGGGGAAATTGACATCTTAAAGTGTCCATTGCTTTATTTTCTTTTTCCCAACAAAACAATGGACTAGGAATATTTACTTCATTTCAGTTTCATTGATTCCAATGAACCAAATACTACCTAAGAATAAAGTCCTACTATGAGTCACAGATCATTACAAAATATCAATTGGTTAATGCACAATTGCCTAAGTTACATCACTAGTCCAAATTATACTGCAGGTAAACCATACACCTCACATAAGATAGTAAAGCTACTGAATCAACCAAACAACCAAGCAAGGCATTCAATTTCAAATCTTTGGAAGATTAGCAAGATTGACATATACATGATTTGAAGTTCGAAACTCTTCAACCGATAAACCAAAAGGGCCAAAAAACAAGCAAAGAAAGCCATCTAAGATACGTATAAATAAAGAACATCAAGTCATCTACACAATGGTCTTTTCACCCTAAACAATATAAGGAAATATGATTTCTTCTCAAACATTAGACCTGACTATACAACTCCAAAATTACCCAGTAAATTCCCAAACTGATCTGAGGTTAAGAAGTTAAGATTTAGGTCACACCATATGCTAAGAGATCTCATGATCTAAGTTACATGTGCTGCAGGTAACTTCTGTATTAGCTATGTTGAACAGCTTTATGGTCATCAAAAGCATAGTTGGAAAGCAGAACATAAATTTCAAAATAAAAAATTTATTAGTTCCTTAATTGGAAAGTAAGCAAGTGGGTTTTACAAAATTTCAACATGCCCTTCCTAATAATTATAATTACATGTGTTATTTTAAATTACACTGTCGAAAAAATAACTTGACAATTCTACTATATAAAAATGCTATTACGTCACGTGTACAAGTTTGCATTGCTCAAAAGGAAGGCAGAAGCAATCAGATTATGCTTGAGGAGGTAATGATTTTTCTTGAAGAAAACAACCATCCTTATAGTTTATTAAAAAGAAACACTGATAATTTTGATAAATCAATGCACAAAATGCATAATTGCCTACAGATGAGAGAAAAGAGAATACAGAATGCTTCTTATCCCTGAACTTATCATGCCGAATATCAGATTGATAACATTTAATGGGGTATTCATAGCAGACTTGAAGTTTCTTGGACTAATATGGCAGCAATGGGATTTTCCCTTGTTAAAGTTAGAGCATTGACTCTGATACCATATTAGACAACCACTAGCGTGGTTCCTTGTGGATCTCAATTAAGAGAGAATCACTTTTTCAGTAACTTTCCTTTTAGTATGTTTCCTAGTTATAATTGGTTTTGGTTTCTAATTGGGATTTCGCTTCCTTTTCCAACTGTAACATGGGAATTTATAGAGCCTGTATATACTTATTAGGGTATTGGCCTTATGCATGTGATCATTCAGCCTTTTGAGTGTTTTGCCTCTTCTAAATTTGAAATAGACTAAGAGAAAAACTTTATGAGTTTGAGTTATTTGAGTTTTTCTAGACGTAATTAGGGTTCTCTATTGAGAAAGAGTGAGACTGCTTAAGTGTGAGTGATCGAAAGAGACTCCGCTCGTGGGTGTAGCACAGTTGGGGTAAAGCAAACGTATACGAAATAATTCTAAAACAAAATTGTTGTGTCCACAATTTATTTTATGCGCATGTAAATCCACTTAACTCAATTCAGTAACAAATCTAAATAATAGATTCATCGTGAACATGTTAATCCAGAATTTAGTGTGCACGATTTTGGGCTGGGAATTTGAGTCCAAAACTCCTAACTAGAACCCAAAAGCATAGACTTTTAGGGAATGGGCCAACACTATAGATCACACTACCACCCCGACCCCATCTTGCATGTAGAGAGGCAAAGAAATGGAGACAGTGAAGAAACTTATAGGCGCATCCCACCATGCACCTTTCAAACAACGAGGAAGTGGGGAATTAGGATTGGAGGTTTTGAACCTAATACGTCCTGCAACTAGTACTCTGAACTTTTGATACATACAAAGACAAAGAGGAAAAAAAAATAGATGCAGCCCTACCCTCCAAACCACAAAGAAGTGGGTGGTTGAGATTAGGTTCCAACCCAGAAGCTCCTGCAACGAGAGCATTCATATGATGATAGACAACCACTAGAGACCAAAAGCATAAGCTATTAGGGAATGTGCCAACAATGTATATCATGCTAACAGCCCAATTTTTTTTTAACCTCTTTGAGATAAATTGTCTTTTATTTGCAACAGAAAATGCCAAATGTTCATATAAAGAACCCTTTTTTTTCCCGTTTGATCATTGCTAAAACAATTAGTTTAGATTCCTTCTTATTAACTAACTAAGGAAAATCATCTATTCAATTTAATCTACGACAATTCTAACTACAAATCTCATAGTGCTTGACTGTCCTCTTTAGGTTTGAACCATAAGAAAAGAAAGCAATCGATCTAAGACAATGGTGCCTAAAGTAAGTCCATCTTATCAAGGCTAGAGAACCAACCTATAGAATCTATCCCTTTGAAAACAGGACTAGGCTAGACCCTAAGCTCTCTGTTCACAACTTCTGGTCAAATCCTTGTCAGTTGGGGAAAGTGCAGCACCTGTTCTGCACAATCAATATATTAAAAGGGGGAAAGAGGGAAGAAAATAAATTGTTCGAGTATCTGCTTTGATGCAACGGTCATACTCAACGTGACATGCGCTGCTGTATCTCAATTCTTAAGCAAATCAAACTATGATTTCATAAATAACAAACAAAATTCCAAAATATGGTATGCAGTAACTTTATTATTCAATTCCAAAATATGGTATGCAGTAACTTTATTATTCAATAACCTAGAATCTGATATATCTTAAATCATGCATCACAGCATCATGTGTTTACTTTTATGAATATCGCAATGTAGCAAAGCGCAAAAAGAGTCAATACATTAGGTTGCAAGGCCTAAAGGATTATAGTTAACTGCAGAAAACACTTTATGGGATCAGCAAATTGGCAAACAAGCTAGATGTCCAGGATGCCTACACCATACAGGCACATGCAATTGAATACATAACAGAGCATCACATACTACAACCATTTGCTTAAAAGTACAACTACACAAAATCACTTCAGTAGTGTATGATAAAGCTTAGTGAAGGCAACCAATACGATCAACTAGGTCAGGCTGAACAATTATTAAGAGAAACTGCTGCAATGAGTATATATTATATGCCCAACAGAATTAACACATTCTTTTTTTTATTTTTGGTCACTGCATACGGTTGAATCTGGAACCACCTAGATTTGGTGATCTTCCTAGTAAGCCTTTTAAGTGCCCCCCCACCAGGCGTTTAGGTAAGAAACCTTGCTGTTTTTGTTCAATTTTGTTTCTTTCTTTTGTTTGGGCCAGAAGGGGGGTGTTCAGTAAAAGATGATTATGTGACACTGACAATATGATGCAAAACTATGAACATGCCATCCTTCTGTGTCGCAGAAAAAAACAAGAAGCAAACAGGATTGAAGAATGTCTCACATGAATGCATGTTTAAGAGAATCCAAAGGAACACCTTTTCAGACCTTACTCAACTTTGTTATGCTTCTCTTCCAAGTTAACCACTGAAATTGTAGAATTAACACGTCTCCTCAGTAGTATCATTTGGCAGGTATGTAATGCAGTTAGTGTTTAGAGCGACCTATTGTCAAAGGTTTATTTATTTTGTAAAAAAAAACCCATTCTGTCAAGTACTTATTCAAAGACATCGCATGAGTGGCGCACTTGGAGACTCAAAGAGCATCAAGACTAAAGCCAGAGTCGAGATGGAACCAAGACAGTGAAGACAAGATCAGGACATCGTCAAGCCTTCAGAACACTTCAAGTAAGGTAGGTTGTGTCTATAGAGTTGAGAACATTTCTATGACTCTTTTAAGGAAAGAAAATACAAATATGACAATGAAAGACAAAACTACATAAATTGTTTGGTTAAATAAAGAAGATGCCCTCAATTTATTGAGGCCAAAAAGTTTGACCAGCATACACAAGGTAGACCCAAAAAACATTTTTATGAAAGCAAAATACAATGAATAGAGATCTCTCTGAGCAACTTTCTACGTCAGTGTATATAAAGGCAATCTCTCAAAAAGCCTCTAACTGAGTCATGTCTTATTCTCAAGAACGGTCACTTGATACAGATTTCAATAATTAGGTAGGCATATATACACAATTTATTTATATACATACGAGAATGCATGAAAATGAAGTACATTCAGCATAAATTTCCATAAATTGATATAATGACAAGTTGAAGTAACTGACCAAGAAGAGCCCCTGAGCAACGGTGGCCTGGACAAGCTGTTGAAGCAAAACACCTTTAACAACGGAGGGGAGTGGAACCGAGTTCTTATCATCTTCTTCTCTTCTTGTATGCAAGCGGTAATTGTCCAAAGGCGGCAACAACTGATATAACCCCGCATACAACCAGTAAACCAAAATTGGGGCAAAGGTCCCCATTGCCTCATCAGTCACATACCCTTCCCAAAACACCATCTTTTTTCTGTTTTCTTTTTCTTTTTCTTTTTCTTTCGCAAGTCAAATCCAATTCAAGCTTATATCATATATTACTCCCAAACAAAATCCACTACATTTACAGTTGAAGATCTAGAATTCGAATGCACATTCTCTGAACCCTGAAAAGGAAACGAAGGAAGAATAACTAAATGCCAGAGTTTCTCATTGTTTCTGAATCAGGAGCGGTTTCAGTCAAACCAACATGATTTCATAATAATCAATCAAGAATGCAGAAGTTACTATTTTCACAATTTTCAAATTTTCTCGGAAAATCAAACAGAGCAGGAAAATAGTATTCCTAGAAGACTAGACAAAACAAAAACACAAAGACATTGAAATGTAATGAAATGAATGTTTTCAGAAACAATTCAGCAGAAGAAATTGCTACGACTTACAGAGAATGTGGGTTCTCATTCAGATCTAAGGCCCTGTTTGGCGCACAGCAATGCGAAACTCTTTTCCGTTGACAGTTGTGAGATTCCAACAAATTAAACACGATAAAAAGGGTTTTGTGATCTTGTTTGGGAGACAAGAAAATTAATGATTGAATTTTCTCTCTTTTTCCCGTCATTCTCCTTTTATACCTCCTTTTCTTTTTCTTTTTTAAGGAATTTTTTTATAATCCTGGCTTTAAAATACTTTTAGGCCACGTATGATTTCTGTGGTGTCGCGTAGGCAGTGATTTTTGAGTTGTGGAAGGACCGCCAGGATCCCCAAGCTTTGATACTTGTCAGGCCCACTTTTTTTGTTGCTTCAGTTAATTAATTCTGGCCATTAGCTTGCGCACGAAGTCCTCTAGTTGGAAGAAAATATGTTCACGAACTATCTATTTTTAAGTTAAAATTTATTTTTTAATTCAATATAAATAGTTTATCTCTATTAAAACAAAAATTATATAAAATATAGGCAATATTAATTAAAGATTTAAAATATTCATTAAATGTGGCAACATTAAATTATAAGTATCTTGGAGCCCATCCAGGACCACCTCGTGGTTCAGACCAAAAAAAAAAAAAATTATAAGTATCCACTAGGAGTCTATTCTCTCTTCTTAGATTTAGGAGCTCCTAGAGGCCTTCTTATTTTAGAAGCTAGATAGGGAGCATAATTGGAGGTGGGTTTTTACACTTCCTTTCTAAATTTTATCTAAGAAGATGGTTTGGGGAGTCCATTACGGATGCTCTAATGAAATTGTTTTTTTGAGCCTGATTTTGTAGTAAATAAAAGGGAGTTTCACTAAAACACCCAAAATGGAGGTTGAAATTATAAAAAAAACCCAAGCACTATTTAAACATATAAACACACCCAAAACTCATCATTACACACACTCAAAACTCATTTATAAACACACCCAAAAAGTTGACTTTGGGGTTGATTTTGGGTGTGTTTCTATGTTTAAATAGTGCTTGAGTTTTTTTATAAATACATGTCTAGGATTGGGTTTATTTATAAATTTGTATAAATAAAAATAGGGGTGGGCATAGTCTGGATTAGATTGATTTCGCTTTTAAAACGGCCAAGCCATATTTTCTTTCCTTGTGCATTGTTTTTAGGGTTAAAAACATTTTTGGTCACTAGGGTTAGCCTGGAAAACAAAAGATCACCGAAATTTCAATTTTCCCAATTTCGTCATCTCATTTGCAGTCGTCAACAAATTAAGTCACATTCTCTAATTTCGTCATTTTTTAGTGCACGTGTTGCATGAGTGCAGGGGCAAAATTGGAACTCCAATTCAATCTTGATCATCATCATCATCCCAGCCCTGCCAATCCCCTTCTTTCTCTCCCTTCCACGTTAGCCACCTACACAACATCCTCCCCCATCCATCCAGGTCACAACTAACCTCATCGGTGACAACACCTCTCCTCCTCAATTTCGACCACCCTTCTCTCTCTTCCATAATCTCTTAATAAAAACCCATAAATCTTGCACTTTGAATCAAAATCCAGAAATCTTTTGCTTTGATAAAACACCATAAAATCTTTTGACCCTGAAACACCTCCAAAGCTCTCTCTCTCTTCTCTTCGACAACTCCGCCCACCTCTCTTTAAACCTCCCCGACCTCGTGAGCGTTCCATTCTCGTCACCAAAAAACAGCACTTCCTTTTTTCGGGCTCCATTGAGGTCAACTCCATCACTGAAGACGACCTCAGAGGCTTCCGTAGCACGTGGTGCACCGAGTTCATCTAAAATGGTAAAACTTGATGTAACATTATGCTGGCAGATGTGAAAGTGGGGGATCAACTGCTTGTGGATAGGGGAATGGTGAGGTTTGAGGTGGTTGAGAAGCTTGGTTTGGATGTTCAAGTGTAGATGCACAAATCCCCACATCAATCTCATGGATTCAACTGCAATAACAACATCCCCTTATCATAAATGGTCATTGTTCTAGACCAAATGGTCACCCCTTGCCCAAAGCTTACAATTTTGCTTTATTTTTATTTATTAATTGTTTAAATGGTGGAAGTACAATTTTGACCACGCACACACACATCACGTGCAATTAAAATGACAGAACTGAGGGATGTGACTTAATTTGTTAACAACTGCGAATGAGATGACGAAATTGGGAAAATTAGAATTTCAGTGACAAAAATTGTTTTCAAGCCCAACTCCACTAACCAAAAAATATTTTTAACCCATTTTTTAAAAAACATTGTTAGCGCAATTACAACAAAAAATTCACAACTTGCTACATAATTTTTTTTTCCTTCATTTTCTAGCATATCAAGCCATCTTAAAACTCAACATGTCATAAAACTTCAAATTCCAATAATTGAGGGCTCGTCTAGTAACTTTTTCGATGAATATTTTCATAAAATGAAAACAAGCGTTTCCCTCTTTTCAGCCGAGTTGGTTGATGGAAGCAACTTTTTTGTCCTTCTTTTGGATGCATAGGTGTTCCACCATCAAGTTACCGATTGGCTTGAATGGAAAGGGTTAGATTGTTGTGCTCGTGCTTCTTAATTCTAACTAGCCAATTGACCGGCCAAGTAAGGAACCTTATCTTGGCCTAGGCTTTGTAGGTATATTTTTCGGGTTTTTTTTGGATATTTAAGTGAGAATGTTAAAATTTAATTAAAATGTGATTTAAACTAATTGACAAGAAAGTAAAGTTTGAAAAAGTAGATTAAAGCAATAACAAATGTAAATTTAAGCAAGAACGACATAAGAATGGTAAAGATGATAAAATAAAGTAATCTTAAATTGAAATTAAACTGTAACATCCCACATCGACCAACAGAGAGGGGGTGATGTGCCTTATATGTACATGCCCGTCTCCATCTAGCACGAGGCCTTTTGGGATGGGTGACCCACTGGGAAGTTTCTTGTGAGCTCCCATAAACAAAACCGCAAGGGCAGAGAGGGGGGCCCAAAGTGGACAATATCGTGCTACGGCGGAGCCGATCCCAGGATATGACATAAACTTAACCTAAATTTGATAACAATTGAAAATTTCGCGATACCTCTATCTCTCCAACGTGCGTGGAAGAGATAGGCAATGAGTTTGAGTCTGCTGAAGCCTACAACACCTAGGGGTGTTGCGAAATCGAAGGTGAACACATTATATCTCTAGGTAAAAGAAGGGCGTAGAGTATTTTGGATTGAAGTATATGGATTAGTAATGCATTTTCCTTATTATCTATTAATGATTAGGGATGGGTGTAGTAATTCCTTTTAGGGTTTTGTAATGGAAATTTTTGGCGTATTCATGTGTTGGGTACCCGTTTAAATTTGGCGTAGGAGTTGACATTTGGAGCGTTGATATAGTTTGGAGGGGTACAATTCTAGGTGTTGTGTTTGTTAAACGAATTGATGATTCATTTATGGAACTTGATATAGAGCATAATGATGACCAAACTTAACTGAAGATCCATTTGTGGAACTTGAAGATTATTGTTCTATTAATTTTGAATTTTCCTTTGGCAATATATGTAATAATCCGATGATGTAATGTAATACCCTTACATGTTGACATGCGGAGATTGCAATTTGAGATCGATGGTGTTTTAGCACAAACATGGAGCACCAAAAGGATATGAAGTTAGTTATTCCCAAAGACCAAGTATTTTGTGCGAAGATATAGCGTGAAAGCCAAGCAAATCGCGTGCTCCCAATTGTTCGCAGTAAGCTCAGTGACTAGCTGCTAAAACAGTTCAAAGCTTCGTAAGATTTCTTCTTGGGGAAGGTGTCATACAATTCACCAAGCATGACTTTTGCTTAATAACATGTCTGTCTTGTGTGAAGTTCCCCAAATATACACAGACAATGATCGTGGTAGGCTGCAGGACACGTACTTCAAACTGAAGAAGAAAAATACTATCGGTGATGTATAGTTTACATTCAAGTCTTGCACTGTGGAGCTCGAGCATTGCAGATATGTCTTTTATATTTAGTCGAAGCAGTGTTGTTGGGTCAAGAAATAACTAATCAGATAAACTTGAAGTATCTGAAGCTCGTAGAAAATATGATAATATGGAAACAATATCTGTGGGATGCTGTTTCATACGCAAAGACCCATGATTCATTATCAATGGCACTAGTAATAGGGTATAACATAAGTAAAGGTAAGGGCGAAAGTAGCAAAAGAGAGGGTAGACTACAATGGGATGTAGCAGAAGAGGAACGTGAATGGGAGTAGAAGTAGAGAAAAGGATGAGAAAGTTGAAGAGATGAAGAAGGTCAAGGGCAAGAAGGCAAAGGGCAATAATCACCCAACATTATTAACAACTTTATTGCCAAAAATAAATATAGGAATTGAAAACATGTGTGACCATTAGGCCAAATCTCAAAAATTAATTTTTTTTTCAAAAGGTATTTTTGTATTTTTAAAAATTATTGGGAAATAGCTCTAAATGCCACCCTTTTTATAATTTTTTATGAAAATACCACGTCTCCCCAATTTTTTTGCAACTATCACCTATAAATATATATTTATTGTCCACTTATTGCACACAGATCACTTTTCTCTGAAATTTAGTTCTCTCTCTCTCTCTCTCTCTCTCTCTCTCTCTCTCTCTCTCCATCTAACTAACTACCATCTTCTCATGAAGAAGAAGATCAAGAACAACCTACAGAACCCACAGCTTTGCCCTCAAAACCCAGTTCTTCCTCTTACTCTCTGTTTTCTTCTCTACCCAAATCCAAACCTCAATTTCGTCTCTCTTTAAATCCCTTCTGCAACCTAAACAAACCCAAACAAAACCATATTTTCTGAATATGGCAGCATGTGTTGGCATTAGGTGGCCATTGTCTAAGCATTTTGGTCCAATTTTGGGGGGTTTTGAAGTCTAGGTTTACATGCCCTCTTCAAGAACAGCTTCTAAAGAAAATGAATTGTTGGGAATATGTAAGTTTTGATGTTAAATTGAACTAACGACGCATCTTCTCACGAAGAAGAAGATCAAGAACAACCTACAAAACCCACAACTTTGCCCTCAAAACCTAGTTCTTCCTCTTCCTCTTTGTTTTCTTTTATACCCAAAACCATACCCCAATTTCGTTTCTCTTCGAATCCCTTCTGCAACCTAAACAAACCCAAACAAAACCATCTTTTCTAAATATGACAGCATGTGTTGGCATTAGGTGGCCATTGTTTGAGCATTTTGGTCCAATTTTGGGGGGTTTTGAAGTCTGGGTTTACATGCCCTCTT